GAGAAAAAAATGCTACTGCCTTTTTTTTTTACTTTAATAAATTAAAATTTGATTTAATAAAATTATAAAATATTTTTGTGTTTATAGTATTTTATCAAATTTGATTTGAATCCTCGTTTCTCCGAAAAAAAGGACAAAAGAATAATTTTTTTAACTCTTTTATACATTTCTATTGTGTTAAATAGAAAGTAGAAGCTAAACTACAAAAATTTCAACAAAATTAAATAATTCTTTAAAATTTCTTTTGTTTTTTCATATAAACAAATATTAATATAAATTTTGAAAAATTTTCTTAATATTTTGCAATTTATGCTTATTTTAATTTTTTTCTTCTGTACAAAATAATTCTGTGCAATTTTTTTTTTGTTTGTTTTGTTTTATTCTTTTTTTTGTCAAAAGTTTCGATAATATTATTTACTAAGTTCTAATCTAATTAATAAAGATAATGATGCTGGTAACAATTTAAAAAATTGAATGAACTAAATGTCAGTAACGCCTTCAATAAATAATATGATAACATCTTTGTTTATTTAAACGTAGAGACAAAATAATTTCATCTAGGTAGTACCATTATCATTGTGTTACTCAAGATTTTTAATTAAATAATATTGAAAAAAAAAATAACAATTTTTCAGTATTAGAAAAAAGTATAGAATGCAATAAAAAGGATTTATATGATAATTAAAGAAAAAAAAAATATATATATAACTTTATTTTTATCAAATCTCTTTTTCCCTCCATGTATATACTAAATATTTTAATATTTTAAAATTTTTTTTACTATTTAATTTTTTATTTAATGTGTTTATATTATTTAACAGCAATAAAAACAAGAATGTAGTACATAATACTATATACAAATATAATAAATAAGAAAATAATTATAAATAAATTTTTAAATTAAATCAAACTTAAATACAGAAAACATAAAAAAAAAATTGTAGATTAAAAAATAAAAATAAAGAAAAACAATAAGTTCAGTTAGGTTTCAAAATCTCTATAAAAGAAAATTTGTTTCATAATTAAATATGAAAACAAATTTAAATAGGAAACAAAAGAAATAAAAATTTTATATACATACATGCATACAAATCAATAAATGTAAATTTCTAACAGCTTTTGAAGGAGTGCTGTAATTTTATAAAATAAATACTTTGTAATTATTAAACATTTAATTTATAAAATTTCAATTGTCATGCAAAATAAAAATTTAATTTCCAAGCGTCTTTAATTCTTTGATTAATTCAACTAAGAAAATTTTTTTTTATTTTTTTATTAATTTGTGTGATTTGTTTTAAATTTTATTTTCCTTCTAAATTTTGAATTGCTAACTCCATTTAGTAGTTACTTAAAAAGAACAATTTTTTAATACAGTTTAGTTAAACACTCCTTCTTTAGCTTTTAACCATGCAAATGATATTTAGAAGACAAAGTAGCAAATTATATATTACAAAAAAAAAATATCTAAAACTCTGCAACACTTAAAAACAGGATCATTTCTAAAATGTTATGTAATTTTAAATTAATGCAGCTTTTAGGAAACACATTCACACTTGATCAAAATAAAATAAAACCAGTTTTAAATAATGTAAAATATTTAAATATATTCTAAGTAAAACTAGTAACTTATCTAAATATGCAAATAGCGTAATGGAAATGCACAATAAAGCATAATTCAAACATGTACTCAAAAAAAAAAAAATAAGTGCAATATCCACCATTTTATATGTGCAAAAATAAATTCAAAACATCAGTATTTTAAAAATGATCCATTTTTTAAGAGTTAAAAATATTATAATTCTTGTATTTTTTTTTATACATTTCTTTGAAATTACAAATATTTTACGGAAATTATAAGTAGTTTTTGAAATTTTCAATTATGTATATGAAATAATAAAAATAATTTTTATTTGTTTTGTATTTCATTCAGCATACCACCAATTATTTTTAAAATTAATTTTGTATAAAAAAAAAGTGTTTGTCTATTTTTAAAATTCAAGGTTTTAAGTTTTTTTTTACAATTATTTTAAGTTTTAAATTAAATTTTAAGTTAAAAATTAATTTTTTTTTTGTTTTTAATTTTCTACTATATTTCATATAAAAGTTTTATACTATTTAATCAAATAGAAAGTTTTATTTTATGTAAATTAATTTAAATATTAAAAAATATCCTAAACAGCAACGCATATTTAAAACATATTGTTAAATCTATTTGATCATATATTATAAGATTTTTTTAGGTTATTTAAAAAATAAAATTACAATTGCAAATAAACTGGAAATAAAACAACTAAATTAAAAAAAAAAATTAAATAAAAAATATAATAAAAAATAAATTTAAAAAAATACTACAGGTGTAATATTGTTTTTAAAAATTATATATATATATACAAAAAATTGACAAAAAAAAACTTTATTAATATTAAGTAAGAAAATCAGAAAAAAAAAATAAAAAAAAAATTGGAAAATATAAATTTTTAAGATAAAAAATTTAAATAAATTTTTATTTTAAAGGAATCAGTTTTTATTCTCTCTGTGAGTTTAATAAAATTAAAACAGAAAAAAAATGGCAAAATAAAAAAATACAAAATAATAATTTAATTTTAAATCAAAATTAAATTATAATTATAAGTTAAAAAGTAAATATATATATATATATATTATTATATAATAATGAAAAACAAAAAAAAAAAAATAAAAAATAACTGAAAAAAAATTGAATTTAATTGTACGAAAAATTTAAGAATTTTACAAAAATGGAAATATATTTCAAAAATAAAGAAAAAAACATATGAAAAAATCGTTATTCTTATTTTGTGTTAAAAGATACAAGTACAGTAATTAAATTCTAATAAAAGAGTGGTTGACTGAAATAATTAAGGGGAGCAAGAGAGAACTAATATATCTACATATTTAAATTTTAAAAACCTTATTATCAATTCAAAACCAAATCCATTAAAAATTTCTTGCCGGTTGATAAATGACGGTGTGATATTGCATCATTCCTCAAAAATGATTTTAAGAAAAACATAAGTTAATAAAAGTGTAATTGTCGATTATTAATAAAGCAATTCTTTAATTTAATTTTATTAATTAATAAAAATTCGTGAATCGACTAATTCAGCGTTAAGAAATTCTACCATCTGAAAAAGATAAAAAAAAGAGTATTACATAAAAAATTGAGCGCAAAATGTTTGTCTATTGCCTTTTATTATAATTCAAAAATTTTCATCATAAATGTTTCTTAATAGTTTTACCTACTTACCAGGTTTCTGTTTCCAATAGAGTCAAAACGTTTCTTATTTTGTAAATTATAGTACATATAAACATATATATTTTTGCAGCTAAATTGCTTTAACTGAAACTCAATTTTCTGGTAAAAAATTTTTCTTCAACGAAACTTGAAATACTTTTCTAAACAAATTTATATGTGACCCATAACTCACAAGACTTAAAACTACATAATATAAAAAAAATATGGAATGGTTATTAAATAATATTGTAAAAAATTATTTCAGAAACGTTATATTTTTCTAGAATTTGTAACAGGATTGAAATTAAATTTGAATGATCTCACATTTACATTCAGTGAAGATAAAAAAAAATCTGAAAAGTATTTACTTTGCTACAAAAATATGCAACTTATCTAATTTATTAAAAAAAATTTTTCTAACATAAAAGAAAATCATTTTTGCATTTTGCAGAGCTCTTATTTTTATTTATACATATATCAAAACGGCCATAATTTAATTAAGTTTTTTGTTTTTGTTGTTCTTTTTATTAAATATTACTGACAAAAAAAAATTACAATACTTAAAATTAAATTTACTGCTTTTAATTTAATAATTAATTTACTTTTTGTTTTATATATAATATCAATATTGTTTTTAATTTTTCCATATTTTTATTTAAACTAAATAATCATATAAAATTTTAACCTTCATTTATATAGTTTTATTTTCATATTTTAAGATTGTGTATCCGTATTAATTTTATATATTTAAATTATATATATATATACTTTATTTGTAAATGAATTTTATTTTATAATTTCCCATTTTATTATATATAATGTTTTTTTAATAATTTTTGTTTTTACAATAAAATTTTTTGTTGAATATTTTACAAAACGCTCTCTTATCATAAATTTTTTGTGTTTATTTATTTAATTGCATTAATTATCTAATTGTAGTATAATTAAAAAAAATGAAGCATTGATTTTCTAAAAAGAGTTTACGCAAAAATATGATACATTAGATTAGATATTCTATATTAATTTGTATGATTTTCAACAAACAAAGCATTATGAATTTTAACTTGTATTAAATTCGCAAATGTGTAAACTTTCAACATTGAGTAGTGAATTTTTCTTTCTCAATGCAAAACAAATCTAATTTCGATATAAAAGAAAATTATTCTTTTTTGTTATTAACAATTCTATTTTTTTTTGTAGCAAAATTTAGGAACTTCCAACTTTTTTATTTCAAAATTACTAATTAAGTCGAGGATGCAAGTGAATGATTTACATTAAAAAAATATAAATAAGAAAAATAGGAACCTAAATATTTTATTATTCTGATAAAAAAACAATTTTAAAACGAAATTTATAATGCAATTAAAGTCAACAGAAAATTAATAATTAAATTGTTGATATTTTTTATTTATTAATTTTATTTATTGGACCTTTTTTTTTAAATTGCATTTTTAACTGCGTACATTCTATTTGAATTTCAGTTAATATTAATAATTTGAAGAAAAAACAAAAGTAATTTAATAAACATTACTTTAATTTTATTAAAACTTTATTAAATTTTTATTTTATATATAATAATTTGTAAACAAACTATATGATTGCTGTTTATTTCAGAATTTAAGCAAGTAAATGCATCTTTTTCAGCGTATATATATATATAGTATTTTAACTTTAAATATATTACTTTTAATAAATAAAATTTACATTGATTTGCTCAATAGTTTATAACAAAATTACAATCTATAAGTAGTTGAAATAATCGTTCCAAGAATTTAAGTAGAAAGAAAAATCTAATTAGTTTTCAATTTAATTAAGTGTTACTTAATTAAGAGAAATCTTAAGAAGTAAAACTTTTAAATAAATTAAATTTTTTGTACTCCAAAGTATAATTTAAAAAAGATCATACAATTTGTGTCTGATCAAGTACATACCTACATATTAAAAATGACATTATTTTTTAATGGCAGACAATATTTGAAGTGGTTTTAATTCTAATGAAATATGTTGCATAATTTTTACAATTGTAATGCTATGAACAAGTGTATTTCATGCTTAAATTTTCAAAAAAAAAAATTAACTTACATATCATATTTTTGCGTTATTGTATTTCGTCCTTAAAATTTATATTTTTTTAATAATTTAAATGTTTTTGATATACAAAAAATTAATTCTAAACGATTTTTTTTGTTTTAGATAAATCTACATTTTTAAATATATAGCAAAAGCGAAAAAATAAAAATGAAAAAATTTTCATTTCCTAAAAACAAAAAGAAAGTTGTCGTCGATTATTTTTTTTTGTTTTTTACAAGTTATTTATTAATTTATATCTAAGTTTTACAAGTTAGCAAATTATTTTATCAGATGTTTCTTTTGTTTTTCATTTACTTTTAAATATAAATTAAAAATAATTTTTGATATTTTACAAAAATTACGAACTTTCTTAAGTTTCAATGTTTTTTTTTTAAATGATGAATGATATTTTAATGATGTTCATTTAAGTCTATAACAGTTGGCAGCAACGGGAATTTGATGATTGCATTTCTCCAACATTTTGACGGAGCTTTTTTTTTGCTGAAATTTCTCGAATCAGATCTTTGAAAACCTAAAAATAAGTTTTTAGTTATTAATTAATTAGTATTAGGAAAATAAATAAACTAAAATTTTTAGAATACATTTATTTAATTCAAATATGAATTTTAATTTAAATGACCAAAATATTTTAAAATTTGAAAAAATTCATCAATTTTTATAATTATTTTGATTTGATACAATAAATTTCTAGTTTATATTAGAAATAATTGAACAGTTTTAATTTTGTGCCACATTATTTTCCATATTTGAATTTAAAATTTGCGTTAAATGAATAATTAATAATATAAGGGTTTCGAAAATGACTTCTAAAATTGACCAATACTTTTATTACAAATTCTTATTTAAGAAATTCTTCATTACAAATTCGTTTTCATAGTAATTCTTTTAAGATTTAATTTATTCAAAATAATACTTGAACAACGAACTCTTGTACAGCTGCTAAATAATAAAAAAGAAATAACATTAGCAAAATACGAATTAATTATTGAGGAAGCCAATATCTATTTTTGGTATTTTGGTCACATCTTAGAAGTCAATCGAATTTCCAACAATAATTATTTAAAAATATTAAAATCTTATCACGTTAAACAGAATGATTGCATTCTTTCTAAATTTCTTATGTAAAGATCATCAAATTTCAACTAAAATGGATTAAATATTAAGATTTGATCATCACGATGGCATCAATTTCCAAAATTGTTATTACATTTTCTGAATTTGTGCTAAGAATTACGTTGGAAATTAAAAGATTTCTTCAATTACTTATTATTACAATTTTATTACAACCATATACATATGTTTTTTAAAATCAATAAGATGGAATAATAGAACAGTGCTATATTACTTATTCAGTATTAGATTTCTAAAAGTACAAGGTTCATGTTATTGAATTTATTAGATTCATATCCCAAGTATACTTATAAAAAAAAATTCAGAAATTTTTCAAATTTGTGATAAAAAAATTAAAAGATTGTATTATTTTATAATATTTTTTATTCTTAACAGAAAGGCAAATATAAGTGATTCATTTTAAAATACTCATTTATCATCGTTGATTAAGAATATTATAGTGGCAATGATTCAATTATAATGAAAACCACTCATAAAAAATTATTACTAAGATATGGAATAAATACTATGTTTTGTAAAGTATACAAAAGCGCGAAAATAAGTAAAATAAAAAAAATATATGATAATTAAAAATGGAAAACATTTCTGTGGAAAAAAATAAAAACGAAAAACACATAAACGCTTGCACAAACAAAAGCTTTTTTGGGGACAAATTACAAAGAATGAGTAATACTCAATTTAAATACTGATGAACTTTAAAATATTATAAAATTTAATTATATGTTTTTAAGTTTTATATTATGTTAGTTTAATTATTGTAATTTGTTATACAAATAGATTATACACACGTACATAATTAAACATACTTAATGATTTAGATTTTTAAATGTTCTTACAATGATTGTATATGAAAAATTTTACTGTGTATAAATGAATTTATTAAAGCTTAATAATTGAAATAAGAAAATTTTCTAATTAATGCATAATTATTTGATGATCTTATATAAATAAAGTGTACATTAAAATATAAGCATATTAAATTTTATAGTTTCAATTTAATTTGAATAATTCATGCAATAACTCTGCTTTCACGTTTTTTAATGCCAATCAATTCAAATTTTGTGTTTTATTAATTCCATATTAATTCATAATTCGTGAGGTTGATGCTACAACTAGATAACTCGAAAATTTTGTATTTTTAGATAATTAGCCTAGGCGTCATAAAATCTGCGATCAATATCTAAGCTTAAAAGTGGTCTTAAGTATCTGAAAATTATAATACCAAAACTAGATATCTTCATGATAAATTATTTGTTATCACTAAATCTCTAAAAGTCAATATCTCTAAACCGATAATTGCGAGTTATCTAGTAGCATTAACCACACGAATTAATTATTATTTAATTATATAAATAAAACTTTCATTTAAAAAGTTATTGCATTTAGTAATTTCGAATAGTAAAACACAAAAATTTTTATCTTAAATTTAATTTGTAAATTTGCAAAATTAAAAAAATAATTATTGTAAACTATTTTCTTACTTTAAAATCAAACTGATTGATTAATGAATTTTATAATGAATTTAATAAATTTCATAATAATTCAATTAAATAACTTAGATATATATGAGTTTACATTTTCTAATTTTGTAGTACAAGTAGTACAGAATTAAAGTTATACCAAAGTCAGGATTTATGATGATTTCTACAAACTAATTCTAAAGTACGATATTACGATATCCAAGAATATAGTAAATTTAAAATTTTAATTGATTTACATATTTCCAGAGATTGAAGATTTGCATTTAATTTATAATATTAGTTACAATAGCCAATATTCTGTGTAAAGAATTTTTTTTTAAATCGACCAATTTATTCAACAGGAACAATGCTTTTTGCTTTTGTAGGTAATATGAAATCTACATGGTGTGTGAACATTATGTCGAGGTATCACTGTATTTATTTTTAGAATTTAATTCTCTACTGTTTTTAATAGCAAATTTTTAGTAATATGCAATTTAATAATTTCATTTCATTTCTCATTCAATAATCAATCAATTTGATTTTATTTTAAAAATTACTTATAGCTGAAATACTTTTAATTTATTCATTCTTACAAAAACAAAAATTATTATAAAGAAAATCACAGAAAACAAATTACATGTTTTTTATTATTTTTTGTTTTTTTAGTAGTTGCAGCTGTAATTTACACTATTGTGGTAGTTTTTTAAATTTGTTTTTCACATGTTCATATGTATGTATTTTTGTTTTGCATTTGCATTCCCTTTTAGTTATTGTTATAAATTTCATTTTTTACTTGTTTTGTTTTTACAATGCACAATAATGACGAATGTATACGTTTTTTTTTTATTATTTTCTTAATAATCGTTTATTTTTTTTTTTTACTTTTTTATTTTTTTTTCTTATATGTGATTTTTTTTTTAATGTTATGCACCTATCTACAGAATTATACATCTGGGTTTCTTTCTTTTGTCTTTAATCTTAGTTCGACCACTTGGTGATTTTGAATCTTCAGTTTTTCGTGATCTTATTTCACGCATCAAATCAAAAAACACCTGTGAGTAAGAAGAGAAAAAAAAATATAAAAAAAATTCACTGTTATTTTACATTAGTTTTATAGCAATAAAGAGTAAAAGAAAAAACAATAGAAAAGTGAAAAAAAAATTGTAATTATTATTAGATAGTGAAGGTATGCTAGATAGGGATTTTTAAATAGAAAAGCATATGCAAAAGAAAAAGAAAAACACAAAAATCACAACACTATAATAAAAATCATTTTCATACTTGAGTTTTTACAAAATAAAACATTTGGGACAATTACAATGCCGCTCTGAAAATTGCAGATACTTTAAAATGTTTTAAATTTATAAATTAAAAGTGGTCAATCAAACATACAAAATATGAATTAATGAAATAAAATTAACAGCGTGTAAATAATATAAAATTTATAATACCTAAAGCCAAGCCATTAATTTTTTAATGGTAAAATAAAATAATTCTTGTAGTTTCAACAACGAATGGAATTCGATGATTGAGTAAGAGTAGGATAATTGGATTAGGTAAAGGCTAGTTGGCGCTATGAGTTTGGAAGTTTTTTTTTTAAATTATAAAAATTAAAGAACTCGACAATATGTACAGTTCTTGTAGGGAAATCAAATGCTGATAAGTGATCTAAAATGGATCGGTTGCTTTAAAATTTTGACATTGAAAATAAGATCAATGAATATAAACTTTGTACAGAATATATTTTACTACACAAAAATAATTGTAAATAAATTTTGATCAAATGGCTTAGTATATCGGACAAATCATGTTTTATAATAAAGGAAATTTTTTTATATACAATTTAATTTCTGTTTTCTCTTATATCGTAAAATATCACGGGAATTTTAACAACAAAAATAAAATGGTAATAGTAGTACTCGAAATAATGGCAAAATATTGCAATAGTACAGAGTGACTAAAAATTGAAACCTAGAAACAGACTGATAAACATAAATACATACTTAGAATATTGTTAACAGTTTTTATGAGCTAAAATTTAAAAAAAAAAAGACATAACCTTTTGAAACTAAAACGCAAGAGATGCACAATAAAATTTAAGAAAAAAGTGGGTGCCTGCATATTCGTGTATGCATATTTTATTTAATTAATTTCAATTAAGGTATGATTTAATTAATATCAATCAATGTTAGACTATTGTACCATGATGTCAAATTACAGAAATTAATTAAGAGTTAACAACCAAACCAAATGAACTTATTCTATTTATAGACAATTCGAACATTAATCTCCTATATTAAGAATTGATTTTTAATAATTTATTCATTTTAACTCATGGAATGAGTCTTATTAAAATCAACGTTGTGCTAAGATAAAACATAATATGGTTAAGGTAAGGCATAATTTAATAATAAGAAATATGTAGAGAGTAATTTTAAGTATACAGTATTGAAAAATCTTAATATATAATAAAATATGTTTGAATAAGTAGTTCATTTATGTTTTCATATACTTATATATATATATGTATATCGACACATTTACATAGTTGCTAATGATTATAATTAATAATGTGAGAATGAATGATGATGATGATGATGACGGCGATACAAAATGAATACATGATGAATTTTTCCGCATTTTGTTGAAACTATTTAAACTCGTATGAGAAGAAGACTATGTTGATTATGAGCTTAAAATTAATTATTATTCAAACATTTCGCTCTTTATTTATTCAAAAACAGCATCCTATTTAAACTATATAAAATCATGAAAAAATTAATTAAAAACATATGAATATGGTAATTAAAAAATAAATCAATTATTCTTATAATATATGAATATTAAGATATAAAAATGAAAACATGGTTTACAGCGTTTTATGTGTAGTTAAAATTTAGGTAATTTTATTTAAATAGCAATACAAAAGTTATACAATACACAATTTTTAACTATAAAAACATCTAGGTATGCGGGCAAGCGACAATACTTTTTTGGCATAATTTTTTTTTCTAAATAAAATTGCAGAACTTTTCAATAATGTGAGAATATGAATGGATTTCTATATTGAGACAACAAAAGCCAAAAAAAATCAATGCGACAAAAATTTCAATAAAAAATATTTGAGCATAAAATAATTAAAGTGAGTAAATTACAATTGACCGTAGACACCAGTACTAAGATTGCTACTATTAAGGATTTGATATTTATTTTCCACGTGAAAATATTAGGCCACCTACCGGGATAAATAGATACATTATTACAGTTACTTTTGTGTAAACTACACTAGTTTTGAATTTTCCACGCTTACAGTGTTGTTTACTTTAAAAGAGACGCAAACAATAACAACTCTTTTACAAAACTTAAAAACTACAAGTATTAGCAAAATTGAACGAGCGACATGTTAAGATGTTTATATACAAAGTTTAAAATTCCATTTTTAGTTTTATTGTTGTATAATAGTTTTATTGTTGGAATTATGCACTAAAAAGCCTACCAAAGCAATATACTTAAAATCACTTAATTTAAGTGTTTTTCTATAATATTCTTAAAAATAAACAAGTATTCATTCTTGTCACGTTTAGAGACTAACGTGAACTTTCGAATTCTATTTCGAATTTTTTATTTACTTTCTTTGGATTTTTTTTCACACCTTAAACAGAATACATTTATTTTTGAAATATTTCCAAGTCGGATACAAATATTTCGTGTTTAAAGAGAGAAGTAAAAACACAGAAAAATAAACATATTTTAACTTTGATAGTAAATTCTAAAATAAATTTTTAATAAATGTTACTTTTTTTTTAAATATGGTTGGACGTTATACAATGCAATCCAATGAATCCAATAAAGAAAATACTGAACCAGCAATATTTTAGAATGCGTCAAGAATTTTATGTGAACTTTTGGCTTAATTAAAAAATAAACAGTGAACTCTTTGCAATATTTGATAATAATTTTTACTTGTTATAACTGAACTAATTGTGGTAGGACTAATTGTGCTGTTCAAACGGCAGCCTGCTGGCTAGATGCGGAAAAAGTGAAATTAATAAATAATAAAAAATAAAGATTTTGTATAATGTAGTAAAAACAAACTTTAACTTTTTCCAATGCTATACTTAAAATTTTCAGAAACAAATCAATATTTACTTAATTTTGATTGCTCAAAATAAATTTCTTATTGCTGGATAATTTCCAATTGAAATATTCAATATTCAATTTTATTTAATTAAAAAAGTAATTTCATCAATGAAGGTTTTATAATTAAAAAAAATTAATAAATTACATGATAATGCGTATTCATAAGTTTATTAAATTTACTAAAAGTAGTTGTTTCCTTAAAAATTAAATTAATACCGTAACAGAAGACTCAAAACTTTAACATTAATGTGGATCAATCAATTTTAGCCATTTAAAATTCAATTTTTTACACATTTCCTTTAATGGGCGTAACAAAAGTCAAAATGGCAAAATTTAATTTAATGAAAATTTTTCTTAGTGCTTCAGATTCGATTCACTTTCGATTTTTTAAATACATATTTGCAAAATATTGCTTTAATTTAAACGCTTTATCGTACATACCTATACAATTTTTGAAATTGAAGAATAATATGAAATTAGTAACAATTTCAAAATGAAAAAATTACACTGTTACATCATAAAAATAACGAAAAGGCTTTTGAATCAAATAATGAAATTTATAACACTTTACGACCCATTATTCATTATTATTTTTGAGTATTAAAATCATGTTAGAAATTTGGAATACGAATAAGTGGAACTAATTGAATAAATATAAAGCATACATATACATACGTATGTTGGAGTATGTATTTATAATTCACTATTCATTTTCTTAATTGTTTTGTAGTCCAAAATTTTATTTCGAACCCCATTAAATTTTTCAAATAATATCAAAATCCCAAACCCAAAAAAAAAATTAACATTATCTGCCGCAATTATTCTCAGTTAAATTTTTAAATAAATTGAAAAATTTATAACTAAACACATTCTCACATTGTCTAACTCAAATAACAAATGAAATGGATTAATTTTAACTAAATACATGGGTACTTAGTTAAAAAGTGGCGTCCTGTCAATGACCCAACATTAAAAAGTTCAAATAAAAGATAAAACTATGTAGGTACATATTTTTTTTTATTAATTATAATATCAAAGAGAGATACGTTGTACATAACTGCTTACATACTCGTATCTCATTCATACTATTAATAACAGTTTTCAACTTTAACATTATTCCCCTTTAATTTAATGAGCGCCTTCTATAAAATCTTGAAACCCCTCTTTAAAAATAAATACACTAGATCCATACAATAAAAGAAAATTCTCAGAGATTTCTTGATTTCAGAAAAAAAAAAAAAAAAAAAAATGATTTCCTTACATTAAGTATAATTTGAATAGTTTTATATGAAAAAAAAACTTCAATATTAACAGTTTTTAATTTTCATAAGTAGGTAAAGAAAGAAAAGAAATTTTTTTCTCTAATTTAAAATACAAAATGGACAGTCAACGAAATATTATATGGAGGGAGAAGAGATGAAGACTAAATAAATTAAAAAAAAAGTAAATAAATAAATAAATTGTGGATTTGTATGTATGTACATATGTATGTATGTATATATACATGATTCTTATTGCAATCTTACCTGCCTGCCACACATAATCGTCATAATTTTTTTCTTTTTATTTTGTTAATCATAATATTAACGTTTATTTACTTTAACTTACATACTCACTGAATATACAATATAATATACATACATACATACATTTTATATACCTATATACATACATACCTTGTCAACATTTTCCCTAGTTTTTGCGGATGTTTCTACATAAGGAACTTGCCATTGTTGAGCGCGTGACTGACATTCGCTTAAAGCTACTTTACGTTTATCATTTAAATCACATTTATTACCAACCAGCAAGAATGGTATACTTTCATCATTCTTGACACGCAAAATTTGTTCTCTGAAAGACAAAACATTAAAAAAAATAATAAATAAATAAATAAAATAAAAATACTATAAAAAAATTATTTTTTCTTGTTTTTTAGAGTTCAACTTCAAAATAAGTATATATGTATGTACAAACATATGCATATATAAAGATAATATAATGTAACTTTGTATGTTATACAGGAAGCAGGAAGAAAGATAACGGATAAAAAAAATAGACACATATACGCATATATTTGTGTGTATATATGGCAAGTAAGTCAATACATATATTAAAAGCAAATAATTTAATTAAAAATATTGAAAAGAATAAAAATAAACCAACATTATACGAGTATATATGAACGTATTATGTATACAGATACGTTACGTAGCGCATATGTTATTATTATACATAAAACAAAATGATTTTGACCCACATTATATAGTTTACTTATATAAGAAGATATCGAGTGGCAACCGTTAAAAATATAATGAAATAGACACGTAAGGTTCAACGAAAACTGTTTTTTTTTCTTTGTTTTTATTTTTATCACTCCTAAATTTTTTTGCATTTCTTTTGAACTTTAAAAAAAAAAATTGGTATATAAACACCATAAAAAGTGAAATGATTACATGGTATATATAAAAGTATAAATACCAAAATAGAGCTAGACAGGGTTGTTCAATCAATCATAATAATAGACAAACTACAAATTGAATCACTCACTTAGGTCCCGAACTCCACTTTTCCAAACACAAACTGTCAGAGGGTCTTTTGCAATATTGTGAAAATAACATAAAAATTGGCTTATCATATTATGCAAAATTCACACTGAATTTTATGATATTGGTCCTTAACATTCTAAGCAACAATCTGCTATTTGTACTAAATACATTTTTTTTATTAAAGAGCTCATTATAATTTAAAGTTTTTCACATCCAATATCGATTCCGTAGAAAATTCTAAAAATTCCCAATTTTTTTGTATGGTAATTTTAAAATGTAATAGAATCTTGAATAATTATAACATGCTTAGTAAGAAGTTTCCAATACAAATCGAAAACGCCAACAGGACTTTTGACAAAATAAAGATACAACAGTTTACAAATTAATTTCTATGTTATTAACCTAAATTTACTAAAAATGGGGTTATAAATTTTTGACAAACTTCCACTGTACGAGAGAAAAATAAAACTTTTTGTGAATTTTTTAGAAACAAAAGTCGAAAATAAAAATTATAATTTAATTTTAGATTCCATAATTTCATTAATATTGGCCTTTATTCTTTACATTTCAAAAAATAGAACAAAATAATAGAATTCTTTTAAAAGTTTGTGCAAAACTTTTGCATTAAAAACTTGAAATAATCAAACGAGGGAGGCGAAATTTGTTCTTAAATTCTAAATTTAAATAAACAAGTAAGTTTAAATTTTCAGAAATCTAAAAATAAGAATTAAAAAAAAAAATAAAAAAAAAATGGAAAAAAATTTTAAACAATAGAAATGGAAAATTTTTTGTTTTAAGTATTTAATTAAACAATTAAAAGTTCTTCTAATTTTTATTAATTCTTTAATAATAGTCCATGATTGTAGTTCCATCAGAAGTGTAAGCTAAAATATTCAAAACAAAAAAAAATAATTTAAGAAAAATCACTTAAATATTAAATAAAAATCGTGTTCTTGCAATTCATCAAAAAATTCAAAAAAAAAATAACAAACACTATATGGAAGCCAATATCATATGGAAGAACTAAAATTAAAAATTTCTCATAATATTTTCGGGATATTTATTTATTTTTAACCATATTTTTCAAAAAGCATAAATCAATTTCGAAAAATTCCAAGGCATTATTTTTCATATTTCTTTGCCTTATTGTGGTTCTATTTTGATTTTAATTTAATAAAAAACTTTTTTTTTAAATGTTTATCTGTAAAACAGGTGCCCCTTGATTTTGTAATTAAAATTCATGAATACTGCTAATTATTGTTTTAACACATTAACAATAAACAGTTTACATTTACAGCTTGTTTTATTACAAAAAAAAATTATTACTTGCTCGTTATCGTAATTAAATATTTTTATCGTAATTAATCTTATCAATGTTATAGCATGACATTTATTGCAAGCCTCATTACTATATTAAATGATAAAGATTTCTGTGATAAGATTTTAATTTGTAAATCACCTGAATTCTTGTGTCGCCTGAAAACTTTCATCATCTGTTATTGAAAATACGCATAAAAATCCTTCACCACTACGAAAATAATTATCTCTGATAGCAGCATAATCTTCTTGTCCAGCTGTATCCAATATATCTATTTGAACTTCTTCACCATCTAACACAACCTTTAAAAAATACACATATGCTATGTAAATTATGAGCTTAAATATTAAAAAAAAAACACATACCCTTTTCCTATAACTATCTGCTTTTGTTGGTTCATAATCTTCTACAAATTCATCATACATAAATTGTAATGTTAAAGCTGATTTACCAACACCACCACTACCAACCATAATAACTTTATGTAAAGCTGGCCCTGCTGCCGGTTTCTTACTCATTTTTTTTAATATTAACTTATTTTAACTATATATTATATAATAATTGTTCTACGTGTAGAAATATACTTTGAAGTGTATATGCATAAAACTAAAACTATAACACTATACGAATGTTTTATACAAAAAAAAAACAAAAATTAATTCAATAAATGAATGTAGAAATTAATGATTACGGAAACAACAAAACTATATCCTTAAATCCTTATGTCCTAAATCATAAATCTATAAAAGAGTATCTAAAATGAGAATAAAAAAAAAAGATGAAATAAAATTATTGATTAATTATTTAATAAGCAATAAATTTTTTTTTTAATATCTTCAGGTTTGAAAAGTAATTTAACAAAATCCTTCGAAAATTGAATTCCATTAATTTTTCTTATTAAGTATTGCAATCAAACTAAAAAAATATTAATTTGCATTAAGATTCTGGGGAATTACTCGTATAAACGTTATACTTTTCCAGAAGAAAGAGTATTCAAATTGATTTTGATTAGAAAAGTTGGTGTTTTATTTTTTAAGCTACATATATTTTCCAAAAAAAAAAAAAATTAATTCAATATTTCCGTTTTTGGCACAAACGATTTATAATTTAAAATTCGTGAGAAATTTGCCAACATAATTGGATATCATAATTATGTAAAATAATCATGTCTACATATATTACAATTATACTAAGCAGCACTTTCCTGTTAAATTAAATCCATGGCATGCTTTTCTTGATATTCGACTATCAAGAATTCATTCATCATTTACTTAACCGAGCCCTACCCAACTAACTGTAAGTCAGCTCTTAGTTATAGTCAGGGACTATAGTATGTCGTTGTAGTCGAATGACTTAGACTAACGAGAAAAAAAAATCCAAATAAATATTGCCTGAGAAATATCCTAATACCAAAAGAAACACTTTAAATTATTGAACTTTAAAATATAAATCAGAATGTTTTTATACGTCCTCACTTGCAAAAAAAAACCTATCAAGAATTTTATCATCACGGCAACACTAAATGTACGACTTTTGGAATTAATTTAAACGAATGCATGACGCTAGGTGAATTTTAATCGATGTTGGCTGCATTTATCAGAAAATGGTAGAAAATTGAAATACTTAATTTAAGAATAAATATAAAATAACATTTGTCATTTATGTCACTATCAAAATAAAAGTAAAATTTATTATTATAAGGTAAATGTCGTACTTGTTTCTCTTCAATAAAATTTTTAATGGTATGTACATACGTTTGCTGCATAAATAACCGTTTAAATTAATATTGTATAAATTAAATATATAGGAAAATTTAAATTGAATTTTCCTTTTACATTTCAAGCGATTTTATTTAATAATATAGTTACTTAATATTTGGCATATTTCAGTATATTTAAAATTGTAGAAATAAATTTCTTGTTCATAAACGCTTCGAACAACTTTTACTTTATTATTTTCTTTAAATTTTTCAATTTTTTTCGTTTGTCGTTTTTAACATAAATAAATGAATTTTCAAGCCAATTGCAGTAATTGTAATTAAATTAAAAAATCAACTATTAAAAATCAATTAAATCAATTTTCTATACTTTCTTAATAAGCACTAAACAGCTTCATAAATGGATTTATTGATAGAAATTGCATTTTTTCCGATTTGTTACAAATATTTTTTTTTCTTCAAATTTCTTAACCAACTATTCATGTTTTCTTTAAGAAAATTGTAACAAATTGATTTACGTTTTTTATGTTATATGAACAAATAATTTAATTATTTATTAAATATTTTAATATCGATTTAATTCGTCACTTATCAAATTATTTCTGAACAAGTTCTATGTTATTGTCTAAATGAAATTGATGTAATAATAGTTTTCCCAGCATGTTTTTAAATTTCTATAATGTTTACCACAGGAAACTGAATATAAAATTTTTAATATTCAACTAACCACAACAAAAATTCTTATAACAAAAGTTCATAAATCTTTTCAATATAGTAGTGTTCTCCATTTTCTGAAAATTGAAAACGTAGCGCATTAAAATTTTTATAAATTATAATAGAAAGAGTTTACAGTTGAAGAAGTAACATTTTCAATTTCTTGTACTCTTAAGTTAAATAATTAAACAATGTTAATTTAATCGAAAAAAATTGGCTCGAATAGCTTTGTTCTTGCTTTTAAAGAATAACTGAAGGCGTAAACAAATGAAAGAACTCATTTTTCACAATACTTAATTTTTCAATATTTGTTTACTTAGCTGATTAAGATCTCAAAATAAGTATTGATTTATGTATAAAGTCACAAGCAAAGTTATGTTTGCCATTCTCGCAACAAAATGTAAATATTATGTAGTTCCTTCGTTTCTAAAACCCTTCAATACAGTGAAAGTTTATTAGATAAACGGAGTGAGTGACTGAAAAAGAAAATTTATTCCAGCTTTAAAGCTAAAACCTTTTCAGATTTTATTTCAATTTTCGTAACCTTATTAAATTCATGATTTATCCGAATTTGTAAAAAAAAAAAGTAAAGACAAATGAAAAACATATTAGTAGCCTTCAAAATTAATAACAACATAGAAAACAAAAATTTTCGGCATGAAAAAAGATAGGTAGTATTCGTGTATTTTTTTTTTATTGTTGCAAATTTTAAAAAACTGCTTATAATTTTTTTTCTACTGAACTATTATTCAATTTAATAAAAGCAATAACAATAGACGCGCGTGAAAATAATGAAAACAAGACCCCAAAACATAATAAAAAAGTTAAAAAAAAACAAAAGAGAAAATAATAAAAAAAAAATCATAAAACCAAAAATACCATCAGAAATATAAGTACGCGCAGTTAGTAGAAATCTAAAAATAGCCCAATCATGCTAATTTCCCCCATTGTATTTTGGATAAATTAGAATTCACAAGCAAGTACTTGCACTTCATTGTAACAAAATTTTATATTCATGATTATCATAAATACATTAATGTATACATACATACTTATATACATACCTATATAACATGTATGAGCAATATATAATATATGTTCATACGCACACACACAAACATATTATATTCCACACATAAAATTTACTAATAATCATTTTAACACAAGCATATTACGTTCATTTGAATACCTCTCCCCTCCCCTGCAATAATAGAAAAAATAACACTTTTGATTTAATAAATTACAAAGAATATCATGTAGTTTACGATTATAAAGATAACAAAATTTTCCACCAGATGGATGGATTAAATTGATGATTCTGACACTTACGATAGATTTATTGTTATTTAAAAATACAAAATGTAATCTATATTTATAGTTATGTATATATGTATATATTTGCTTGAACGTTTTATAATGTGCCTCTTCATATATAACAATATGCATAATAAGCGCATATACATTTCTGGTTGTAAGTTCAATTTCATACATAGTTAGTTACATCTGCAAAAATTAAATTTATGAAGGTTCACAACATTTTAATAACGGTGTTTTTCCTTTTCAAATTATTTACAAAGTTTAGTAGATGGAGCTTTTGTTTTCAATTTGGATTCATAAAACTTAATGGTACTTTCTTGATATACGTGTATGCATGTGCGGTAAGTAAGTATAAAATGTATGTATGTATAATAAAATAATAAAAAAGAATTGTTACAAATGAAATTTTTTTTTGCTAAATTTAATTGGCAAACTATAGGTAGAATTACTCGAGAAATTTTTGGATCATACAGATTTTAACCATATCTCAAATTACGTGTACCGTTAAATATATATGTACAATAATTTTTTACGAAATTCGGCTGAAATAAAATATCGTATCCCGAGCAATTGTATACCCATATATTAAGGTGTAATTATTGCTGATACTATAAGTAAGTTGGAATCCACTTCAATTTTGTAGCACTTATTTGTTCAAATAAAAATTTCTCTATTTTATTTTCGATTACTAAAAATACCTAATAACTAAATAAGTAACTTTGTTTAAATTATTCACAATTACCTTAAAATGAGTTTTTTTATTTCAGCAAAGTAATACAAATAATTTCATTATTATGTTAAGGTTGCTAAATATTGCTTTAATAACTTGTTACAACAAACTCATTATTACCCAAACTAATTTTTCTGTATAAACAAACCTGTAGGCAAATAATTTTTATTGTTCCTACTCTAAACAACTGTTATAAACGTAAATATCATTGCTAGAAAAACAACTTGTCTTGCAAGTATACTGAAAAAAAAATCATATTGGCATTTTAGCGTTATGAAGAACGATTTTCATTAAACAAAAAAACGTTTTCTTCGCTCATAAAATTGTAAAAGACCGCTTGAATAAACGTTTTTCTTTTCCTTGTTCTTTTCAAAGCAAAAACGGAAAAAAATTTAAGTTTGGAGTAATGAAAAAGTGATGATGAAGTTTTAATGTAGCCATCATTTTAATTGTGAGAAAAAAAAATAATCATATAAAAAAACTATACTTGATGACTTCTACCTACCATAACAATACTAAAAATTAGATAGTTTTAAGCTATAACAATGTTACAATGGCCCATTTTGTTAAGGCACACACATAAAAAATAAAAAAGAAAAATTTCATTGGAAAAACTTTTGAATTTTTTGTTTTTTTTGTTTAATGTTACATTTTTTATTTTGCTTCTTCGTTAGATATTCGTTATTTGACCTAAAATAATCCGAAGGCTCTTTAAGCCTGGTACACACTTTTTGTATAGATAAGCAAACACTTATGTATGAGTTATGATTGTCGTATAGCAAATAATCGATTTATAATAAGTATTTTATCGGCATTTCTTATTAGATTGCAAAAAACAAAGAAAAAGTGGCGCACAAGCTAATAAACTGGTTAGCTATTGAATTGTTTGAGGAAGCAATGAACATAATTTTTAACATTTAATTGATTAATTTTTCTCAATTTGCATTCTTTACCAATAGACTTAACTGTTATTCACTGTTGTGACAATATCAATAGTGAGTGTACTAAACTCACTATTGATATTGTCATTGTTTATTACTAAATAATAATAATAGCAACAATGAAGAATTATTGTTCATCATTAACAAACACTGAGAGTAAACATTGTAAGAGCACAAAAAAAAATTATTAGGATTTTGACAAACTTATCACATGAAATTTGTGAAGCTGTCGTTTATTTACACTTTTCTATCATGGAGAAGTGCGTTTTGACCGCGATATAAGAAATTTAAGTGTGATCACTTCCTTGCTTGCAGTGCGGTTGAGCAATTCGTGT